TAGGGAGATGATAATGTTAATCTGTTTTGTTTTTATATTAGGCACAATAACACTAGTTCTAGTTACACCTCTGCGATATTGACAAAAATGTCATTCTCACCCCCCTTGACATTAGGATTGAAAGCAAAAGGGGGTTTCACCCCTTTCAATGTTTAATTCAATATAACTGGTTTTTTTGTGGACATTAGTGACCATATCAGAGCTTGGTGTACGCCTCTTGCCATATTGAGAGTATTTTCATATGGGAAGTAACATCATCCTCTCCTTCCCTGGATATTAGGAACAATATCACAGGACCGGTGTACAGCCCCAGTCACATCATGAGTCATATCATCTGTAATCCCCTAGTTATTAGGATAATATCACTGGGGGTTTGTGCGCTTCCTGAAATATTTGGAGTAATATCCTCTCCGTTTTTGGATATTAGAAACAATATTACAGTGGTGGTGTACACTTCCTGCGATATTCAGGGTATAATCATCCTCTCTCCCCAGGACATTAGAGAACTACGTCACAGAAGCGTTGTACACCACCTGTGATATTGGAAAAATCACAGTGTACACTTGCTTTCACAATGAGAGTAATACCTACTTAGGATATGATGGATAATATCACAAAATGTACACACATGGGTGTATACCCACTTTGATATTAGAAGTAATTTTTATCTACTACACTAAAAATAATATCCCAGAATATACTCATAATGTGTACATTTATTGGGATATTACAATAAATGTATATAATATGTACCATATGTACATTTTCTGTGATGTACATATGTGCATACAATACACATGTACAATAAATGTACATAATCTGTACAATATGTACATTTATATGTACATAATGTGTACACAATACGTATGTACATGTGTACAATATGTACATTTATTGTAATATAATGATATATATAAGCACAATAACATATCGCAATATATATGTAATACATATCACAATAAATGTACATATTGTACACATGATGGGCATATACATTTATTGTGATATTACAATATGTACACATGTACATAATGTACACATGTAGACGTGTACAATATACATGTGTACATATGTGTGCACATTATATACATTATGTACACGTGTACAATATGTACACGTGTACATAATGAGCTCATTACAGATGCACAATATACATATATGTGCACAGTATGTAGATATGCACAATAAGGACACGTGTACATATATGTACACATGTAGCTATGTACCATCTATACATGTGTACATAATATGTACAATATGTACACGTGTACAATATGTACACACATGGTGTATAACCACTTTGACAATAATTTTTATCTAATATACTAAAAATAATATCCCAGAATGTACTCATAATGTGTACATTTATTGGTATATTGCAATAAATGTATACAATATGTACATTTATTGTGATGTACATATGTGCACACAATACATACATAGAGGAAATGTACATAGTCTGTAAAATATGTACCTTTATATTTATATAATGTGTACATAATATGTAGGTACACATGTGTACAATATGTACATTTATCGAAATATCAGTGATATATATATAATCACAATAACATATATAATCCCAATAATATATAATACATATCACAAGAAATGTGCATACTGTACATGTACATATGTATTGTGTACATATGTACATATACATTTATAATACCATATGTACATGTGTACATAATGTACACACTATGTACATGTGTACTATATGTACAAGTGTACATATATGTGCACATTATGTAAATTATGTACACATGTAGAAATAGGTGAAAAGTATGTACATATGCACAGCCCCGTAGCCCACAGCCCCCTGGCCCATCCTGGCTATTAGAGAAACCCTGGATAGGGGGTTGTGCCCACAGCCCCCACCAGAGGGCCCATAGGAGCTCCCCGGCCCACCCTGGCTGCTAGGTACCCCCTTGCTAATAGATAGCATAAAAGGGCAGTATGATACTACAAACTTTGGCTAATAAAACAAACTGACACAATTAAATGATTATTGAAAATAAACATTGTGGTTTCAAAGATTTATTGATGATTTAGGGTGAAGTTTTTATCTTATGCACTGTCTTAATGTGGGACAATTCCCTTTCTTTGTGTTTATGTAATAAATATTTGTGAAGCACCTGTATCCACTAGGCACTATTTTAGGTGCTGGTGCTTCAGTGGTAGACAGAGCCCCTGCACACATACAGTTCTCACTTTGTGGGTCAGGAGGCAGACAGCAAATCAGTAAACACACACAAATACATGACACAATTTCAAATACCAGGTGTTTAAAGCGTTCCACCTGATTTTTCTGAAGGAGGGAGCAAATAACTTTCTGCTGGCTTAGATTTGTGCTGACTAGGACACAGATCTACACAGATCTTACAAACTGTGATGTGTAAGAAACTATGGTTACTCAGAAAGATACAGGAGTATTTATACCTTTATGACACATATACAATCAATAAGGGGCCCTGGGCATTTGATTTTTATTTTATTTCAATGATAAAATAGGTCTAGTAATGTTAGTTGTCATAGTTACTAGTGCTGATTTAATGTTAGTGAATTTACTTCACATTTAGCATAGGAAAAGTTTGGATTTATTATTTGTAAATTAGAAATACAGAATAAAACCTGATTAAATTACTTGTTCTGGTATAAGTATCGCATATGTGAATTATTTTTGCATTTGCTGAATTATAATGAAGTTCTTAACAAAATGAGAGGTATTAAAGGCCCACTGCAACGGTTCCCACTGGAACACTTCCCCAGGTTGACTGAAGTTCCAGGTTTTTTTCTTATTCTTCCTTCCACCCTCTATTCAGTTTCAGTTGAGAATCTACCAAACTAAGATTACATTGACCACGCAATTTTAGGCAAAAAGGGACTGCACTGATTAGTTCAACTGCCTCGTTTTCAAAGAAACTAAAGCCCACGGACCGATTTACCAAAGTGGGTGTATTCTTCTTATCTGTGCTGTCCTATTATTCAAGATCCCAGACTAGTCATAAAGCAAATGGTATAATTACTAGCTGATGGGAATTTCTGGAATGGGTTTAGGTGTGAGGAAGACAAAGGTCTAGTGGCAAGGTCAGCTCTGGAGATAGGTTACTTGGATTCAAATCTACTTAGTTGCGTATTCTTGGGCAAATTACATAACTTTTCTGTGCCTCAATTTATTTGAAAGAGGGTGTATAATAGCATCTATCTCACAGCGTAATCGTGAGGATTATTGAGCTATTCTACCAAAAGTATTAAAACATGTGGTTAAACTCCCAGTAGACACTATTTTTACCCGAATTACAAACTGCCAAACCCTTAAGTCTTGAGCTCCCAAGGGGAGTTAGGAACCCTCCTGTGGCATTCCTCTTCTAAAAGTCTGCTGAACAAAAGCTGATGTTGCATTTGCAAAGAGCTCAAATGGATTACTTTTATGAAGTTTGGGGCAAATGAATTACACATATATATGACCCTCCCTCAACACCCAGAAGGTATGTGGACACGCAGAATCCAAAAGTCTGAGGGTGACTGTGCTCCGGGGGTAAAGGGATGCTCTTTGAGTAAGGCAGGACGTTCAATAAGAGCGGCTGGCGACCAAAGAACTAAACTTTAAGGCAACAAAGGTGAGTCGGTCTCCCTGAGACCACAGGCATTCAACCCAGGAACACCTCGCTCCACCTGGAAGGCCCAGGTGCGGCTGGATGGGGACTGAAAGGGTCAGACCACGGGATTGTTCTCAACTTTGGGCTTTTACACAGCAATTTCAAAGACAAAGAGGTTTTTCAGCCAGGTTTGGTTCACCGTCCCCCTCCTCCCAGGCCCAAGCTTGGTCCCCAATGTCCCCAGCAATGCTTAGGATGTCCCTCACTTCGCTCCTTTTTCTTGGGGCCACTGCCCACCCTTAGGTTGCCTGCTGTCCCTCCTAGAGAGAGGTGGATGGCTGTGACACTCCAGGGAGAACAAAGGGAGGGGTGAGGCGGCAAAGACGCCCTTCTAAAGTCCCGCCCCGGAAAGGCATCCCACTACGCCGGCCGCGAGGCGCCCTCAGGCTACAGCCTTTGCCCCAGCCTCCTCCCTTCGCCCCGCCCCTTGGCACGGGGGACGTGCGCTGTGCGGCCGGCGCTCTCTGATTGGCTGCCGCGTCAGGGTTCCACGCCGCCATTGTGCCGTGGGCGGCCCTCGGCGCCTGCGTGCACAAGGTGGGGAGCCTGCGTTGGGAGTTGCTGAAGTCGGAGGTGGGGGAGCGGTCACTTGCAGCCAGCGGAGGCAGCTGCGGGGCGCAAAGTTGAGAGCAGTCCCTAGTCTGAGCCTTTCCGCCGCCCTCCGGCACCGCCAGCACCATGGACTCCACCCCGCCGCCGCCGCCGCCCCTCGGCGACGCGGTGCAGCTGCCACTTGACCAGGTGGGTTCAGGTACCGCGAGGCACCCAGGCGTCGGGCACGCGCCCTCGCCGCCCTTTGCTGCCGCGGTGCTGCCAGACCGGGGGCCTGGGAGAGAGGTGGGGACTGGGACCCGCTGCCCCTGGAAGGGAGGGGAAGACAAGCCTGTCCCGGTGAACTCTCGCTCCCGCCGGCCTCCTCCCTGCCTCCCCGGCGGGCCCCCCAGAACCCCATCCGCCACCCAGGGCCGTGGTGGTCCCGGCGTTGGTGCCGGCGACAGCCCCGGGGAGGGTCTTCATGTAGACTTGAGGGTGTGCGTGCTGGTCCCTGCCCTCCGCCGCAGCGGGGCCGGGACCCAGCGGTTGGGTCCCTTCGGGTGCACAGGCTGGGATGTAGCCTGAGCGGAAGGCTGTGTTCTGGAGAGGCTGGCGTGGTGGTGCCTGCCCGGCGGGTGGCTCTGAACGACCCCCGGAAAGGCTGATGCGTAGGTCTAGGTCTGAACGGTGCGTTAGAGATGGCGCTGATGGGTGCGAGGGGCACAGAGAAGCTTAAGTGCTACTGCACTTTGGGGACAGTTTGCATTGGAGTGTGGTTTAAGGGAGACAAAGGCAGTAGTTTCGGGGAAGGCAGAAGTTATGAAGAAAAGTGAGAGGGAGTTATCCCTAGGATCCTAGCTGAGAAAGTTGCAGCCTTGTAGATAGAAGCAGCCACCCTTACCTCCTGGCCCAACCCTCAAAAAAGCACTTGGCAGTGTTCAGAGAAGGGTGGTATTTAAATGAGGCCAATTGAGTTTGATGGTTAAAGGGCCTAAGGATTACTGAGAAATCAACAATATTGTGGTGGAAAAAGCAGCGCCATTTTTATTCAGCAAAGAAAGCTTGGAAGTATTTTGTTGGGATAATTCAGCCTAAGATTTAAGGAAGTTGTTAATGCCGGGTGTGGGAGGTCGAGTTAGGTGATTGCTCCAGCCCCAGGCTAAAGGTGGTTGACTTTGGAAAATTTGCTTGCAGTTGTTTGTAGCATACTTAACCTAGAAGTAAGTGTTTGCACTTTACAAGGGATACTAGTTCACTGTCCTTAGCTGGAATGTGCGCATGTTGTTTAGGGGATTTCATTTATACTACAGATTCTCTCTTACCCAGACTGCTTTTCCTAGCAGCAAGTTGGAAACCTGACATTAGGGTACAGGCTGCCTTGCACTTTACTCTTTTAAATAACCTTATGTGGAACGAGTGTCAAATAAAAAATAATTAAATAGAAAAAAGTAAATAATTCTGCCTTCTCTTAAAATCTCTTATTGCGGTCATCTCCACCTATCTTTAACAGCAGTTATAATGTGTATCCTGTGAATAAAGTGTTGGTAGTGAAATTCATCGTGTATTTGAAGAAAATACTATTCTCTGTTTACTAATAAATTGATCAGAATTTAGTGTTTTTCATCTGCTCAGCCCTGTGAAAGATCATCGCTGTTTTCCACCCTGGCATGCAGTGTAGCATGTCACACTCCTGATTTAAACAGGCTGCTGCCAGTGTATCAGCAAATGCAGCGTAGGTGTCTGTAAAGAAAACATACTGCTGATGAGGAGCAAGGGAGATACCCATGTACATTTACATTTCTTTTAGAGAGACAGGCATATATTCACATTCTCTCTTTCTCTTCCCTCTGAACCCCGTGTCTGCTATAGGCATACCCCTCCCTCCCATGCCGAAATATTTTCTTTGTTATGCTAATAATACCTTTAAATTTATATAATGCTTGTAACTTTTTAAAAGTGATTTTATAGTAATGAACTCATTTAAACATCTCAGCAACCAGAGAAAGTTCTTTTCAGTACTGAAATAATCAGGAGAACCATGGGAAGGAGACAGGACTTAAAACTTTGTGACATGTCTTTCTTTGTTTAGCTGAAGGTCTTGAGTTTGTAGCTTGGGACTACTATAAATTTGTACAGACACGTATAGCCCTAATTTGTGTGGTACAGTTATGTAGTGCATAGTGCCAGTGAGGTCATCAGAGCTCATATATGATTTTGGTTCTATGGATTATAAGGGAGCTGAAACATTCCCATTGCCTAGTGAAGCTGTAGTATTCATAATTTCTTAGTTACTCTTGTTTTTGTGGTGATGCTGGTGTAAACAAACTTACTGTGCAGCCAGTCCCTGTAAAAGTGTAGCATATGCAATTATGTACAGTACATAATACTTGATAAGGTTACATTATTGGTTTGTGTATTTTCTACCCATTTTATTGTTTTACTACGTACTTCTGTTGATTAAAAAGAAAAGTTAACTATAGAACAGCCTGAGGCGGGTCTTTCAGGAAATATTCCAGAAGAAGCCACTGTCATAATAGCAGGCGACAGCTACATACGTGTTGTTGCCCCTGAAAACCTTTCAGTGGGACGAGATTGGAGGTGGGAGACAGTGATGTGCATGATCTGGATCCTGTGTAGGCCTAGGTTAGTAGGTGTTTGTGTCTTAGTTTTTAACAAAAAGTTTTAAAATTAAAAATAGAACAAAGCTTATAGAATATAAGGAAAGAATATTTTGTACAGATGTACAATGTGCATTTTAAGCTAAGTGCAATTATAGAAGAATTTAAAAGTTTGTAAATAAAAAGTTACAGTAAGCCAAGGTTAACAGAAGAAAGAAGAACTTTTCAGTGTAGCCTAAGTGTAAAGTCTTTATAAAGTCAATAGTGGTGTACAGCAATGTCTTAGACCTTAACATTCGTTCACCACCCACTTACCCACAACAACTTTTAGTCCTGCAGTCTCCATTCATGGTTAGTGCCCTATATAGGTATACCATTTTTTATCTTTTATGCTGTATTTTTACAGTACCTTTTCTATGTCTAGATACACACGTACTACAGTATTCATTACAGTAAGCTGCACTGTAGGTCTGTAACCTAGGAGTAATGGACTGTACCATCTAGGCACCTGTGTAGTAGGCTAGACTGTCTAGGTTTGTGTAAGTCCACTGTGATGTCCACAGTGAATTGCCTAATGATGCATTTTTAAGAATGTACCCCCATTATTAAGCAACACATGAGTGTATTTGCAGTTGTTTTCTGTTTGAGCAAGTCTTGAGAATATTTAATTAATACCACATAAGCCTTAACTTTTCATACTGATAATTGTTTCTTTGAAGCACCTAAGAATTGACTTGCTTGTTGTTGAAGTTCTTGAAATAACTAAAAACTCATATTGTAAAATTGGATGAGTAAAATCATTTAGCTATCATTTTAAAGTTGAGCATTTTAGAGAACTTGGGACATTTTTATAATGTAAATAGTCCAGGTTGAGAAAAAGCTTAGGAATTTGTTGTAATCAAATAGTGTGAGTCAGCAGGAAAAAGGCAAATCGGGAAATGAAAAGTGCAAAAATACAACTTATAAGCATGTTAATTTGGTACGTGCAAATTAACAGTGTTTTGAAAAATTAGAAAATTATAGAAGTAGTTGTTTAATGTCAGATGAAGAAAAGGACTTTAGTGTAACAAGAACAGTTAACTTTTTACTAAAGTATAGAATTTATGAGATAATAGAAATTATTGATCCACATTGAATGTAAGAACGTGCCTTGAGGGGGCCAGGTAGCAGAAGGGAGGGTGTGTTTTGCAATAAGGCTAAGGCCAGGGAAGGAAAAGGAGCAAAAGATCTTGCCATTGACTCCTGTATTGTTTAATCATTACTGATAATTCCAGAGCGACCTTGAGGTAGCCATAGTGTTTGTTCAGTAGGCCTTAAATCTTAGTAAAAGATCTATTATCAAGTGAGGTTACACCATGCTGTAAGATAGGAAGTAACTAGCATCTGAGGTTTGCCTTTGTAGGCCTTGCTTTCCAGATAATTTTATTTCTAGGGTAATGTTTAGTAGGTGATTTTGATGAAAGGAAAATATGGAGAGAAGGTTTTGAGGAAGAAATTGGACTAAGGGAGAGCTGTGCCATGAAAAGGGCCAGATGTGTTATTTAGAAGACATCAGATATCATTGAGCATATTTGTGTTGTTATTTTCTGATGTGCTGATGTTCAGTTCATCTGTAACTTGAAAAGTAAGGTGGGCTAGGCGAGGTGGCTCATGCCTGTAATCCCAGCACTTTGGGGAGGCTGGGGGAGGTGAGTCACCTGAGGTCGGGAGTTCAAGACCAGCCTGACCAAAATGGTGAAACCCCGTCTTTACTAGAAATACAAAAATTAGCCGGGCATGGTGGTGCATGCCTGTAATCCGAGCACTCAGGAGGCTGAGGCAGGAGAATCGCCTGAACCTGGGAGGCGGAGGCTGCAGTGAGCGGATTGCGTTCCAGCCTGGGCAGCAGGAGTGAAGCTCTGTCTCGTGGTGGGGAGGGTGGGGAAGTAAGGCAGAATGAATCAAGTATTTTGTAACGTTTTTGCTGTTCGTGAGTGGATTCTTTTTTTTTTTAATAATGTAAATATGTTTGACATTTTTGCATTTTCAATTTCATTTGTGTTTACTCTAGTGTATTATGTACGCTAATAGGGAACTGAATTTTTTCATCTGATTTAGAAAGTAATACATGTTTATGGTATAAAATTTATAAAATAAAAATGTATAACTATGAAAGTTTAAAAATCACTCATTTTCCTTCACTCCAGGGAAAACTTCTGTTAATTTTTTTAGGATGTGTGTGTATATTGAAACAGAATTAGAGTCACACTGAATACAAAGTTTTTGTAACACAGCCACCATATGAGGAATCTCGGGGCCCATAAAAATGCCTTGTGTCTGTGCTTGAACCTGCAGGCCCAGCTAAAGTCGCAGGTGACAGCCAGCATTCACCATCTGACATGTGAGTGAGTGAACCTTTAGGTAATACTAGTCACTGGCTACTGGCAAGTAGAGAAGTAATGAAGTGTCCATGCTGATCCATGTCCAAATTGCAGATTCCAGAGCAAATGAAATGTTAGTGTTTTCAGCCACCAAATTCAAGGGTACTTTTTAGGTCATTAGAGTATTCATTTGGCAATCATATGTTTTAAAACAATTCTAATTGAAGTATAACATATATAGAGAAATGCATAGATCTTAAGTGTGCAGTTTGATCAATTTTGACAAACGTGTACATGTGTGTAACTCATACTGTGTAACCCTTGTAAAGGTGAACATGGTACACCAGAGTAAACAAGGTGTGAGTATTAGGTGATGAGTAAAAGAGATTGGGAGGCCTTTGGTTTAAAAAAATATATGATGGGAAGCCATCGGATTTTTAGAAATACACTTTGTGTTTTAGAAGAGTTTTAAATTTATGGAAAGTTGTGAAAATAGTAGAGAGAGTTTCCAAATAACTCACATCCAGTTTTCCTATTGTTACCCTGTTACATTAGTGTGGTCTTTTGTCACACTAAGTAATAGTGATACATTATTATTGACTAAATTCTATACATGATTGATTTCTTTAGTTTTTACTTAAGGTCTGTATCAGTTAGCTGCCAGAACAAAATTCCATGGACTGAGTGGGTTAAACAAAAGAAATTTGTTTTCACAGATCTGGAGGCAGAAAATATGAGATCGGGTACGAGGACAGTTGGGTTCCAGTGAGGAGTCTCTTCCTCACGTGCACACGGCACAGTCCCCTTTCCTAGGTGTGTGCTCACCAGAATAGAGAAA